ACGGCGGCCCACGAGGCCCACTCCCTGGGGAAGCGGCGGCTGAGGCTGAGCTGGCCCTCTTTATCCCCTGAGCTGATGCGCCCGAGCTGCCAGGTACCTGTGGCCGAGCTCGGGCGTGATTTGGCCGAGCCAACACGTGTCCCGTGCGAATTAGCCCCCATACAGTATGCTTCTAGGATTTTATGAGGAATTTAAAAGTGGTACAGCTTAAAATAGTTTTGGCTGTCATTGGAACCTGGATGATGATAATATTGTTCTTATTAGTTAGGAAAATTTGCCAAATTGGTCCCTAACATTTTCACAAAAACTTTTTTAGTCCTTAATATTTAAAATTAGCCAGAATAGTTTCTAACATATAAATTATGAGCTAGTTTGGTTCTAATGCTCGTATTTGCACTTTTTTCCGGCTAAAAATAGAACACCGGCATAATTTTAAGGGCAAAATCGAAAACATCCATTAATCCCAAATTTCCCAAGCTCGGATCTGACTGACTGAAATTTCGGGATAAATCCGCGTTAACAAGGAAGAAAGAACACCTAAGGATGGCTTCACTGAAACTCACCAAGAGCTCGTGAAGAGCGAGGGACAGTGGCTGACCAACACCTCCCAATCATGTTCCGTCGTGGCAGCGCTCATAGCCACGGTTGCCTTTGCAACATCAACCACCGTTCCAAGCAGTGTTAAGCAAGACATCGATACGCCAACGCTGGATAACGAGCCGACATTTGACTGCTTCGCCATTTCATCCCTCGTTGCACTTTGCTTTTCGGTCACCTCCTTAGTTATGTTTCTAGCCATTCTCATGTCCAGGTACCAAGAAAAAGATTTTGGCACCGGCTTGCCCAATAAGCTTCTGTTGGGCTTAACTTCGCTGTTTGTATCCATAACTTCCATGCTCATCTCATTCTGCTCCGACCATTTTTTTGTGCTCAAAGATAAGCTCAAGTTCGCGACCTTCCCCGTTTATGCAGTGACTTGATTGCCCGTCACCTTGTTTGCTATAGCCCCCCTAGTTTCCTATGTACTTTGACCTTATTTGGGCTACCATTCAGAAAGTTCCCCAGTGTAGCTACAAAACCATTCCTTTATGACACAGGTTGATGTAGGGGTGGGCAAAAATTCGACCCGATCCGAAACCCGACCAACCCGATTCGACCCGATCCGAAAATAGGACATTCGATCCGATTTTTCTTAGCGGGGCAGATGCGGGTCGGGTACCCGAAAAAACGGGTACAGATACAGATCAGCAAAATAAAAATTCACTGGTACCCGACCCGCAGGGTATATTATATAAATATTAAAAAAATAAGGGTTCATTATATAATTTTATAATTTTTAATCTTAAGTGTAAGTAAAGTGGTTCACAATCTCATATTTTAATCTCATATGATCCACCCCTCCTCAGATTGTCTAAAAAAAGTGAATATTCTTGGTGAAACCTGAACCAAATGAATAAAACAAAGAAAAATTTGTGAAACTCTATCATAAAAATTGTTCATTCTTTTCATCATTTTTCATTTTTATTCTACTTCTATTGATCTTTCCTGCAAAAATTACTAGCTCTGTTCAATTCTTTTCCGGATTTGATTTCACAATCTACTCATTTTGGATGCAATCTTGTACCATAGTATCCTTAAGGAAGTTGAAAAAGTTGCCATATACTTATTATCCTTGAGTTTGTTATGTTGTAAAAGAATGAAATGCGTGAGAATGGTGATGTACTTAAAATTATCATAAAACTTTGTTTTATCTTTGTGTTTGTTATACTTGAAAAAATTGGAAAAATTGCCCTATACTTATTATTCGTGTGTTTGTTATGTTGTAGAATGATGAAATGCATGAGAATGGTGATGTACTCAAAATTATCATAAAATTTTGTTTTATATATTAGATATTATAATTCTAATATGTACTAAATTATGAAATCGGTTTGATTATTTGGATGAAATGTGTGAGAATAGTGATGTATGGATTTTGATTATAATATCTCTACTAATGTTAATTGGAAAGCATACCTGTTTTTTATTGGAAAACATGTTGATATTAAGTGAAAAATATTTTTTATTGGAAAATAGTTTTTTTTTTAGGGGAGGGTACCCTATGACCCGACCCTTTTTTTCGGGTACCCGAAAACATTAGGAGCGGGTTAGAGTCGCAAAATGGCTGATCCGATATTTTAGGGTCGGGTCAGCCAAATCTTGTTAGGGGCGGGTACCCGACCCGTGCCCATCCCTAGATTGATGTATCTTCAACTGTATCTTCAACCCAAGCATGTTTGCGGATTTATCCCAAAATTTCGATCAGATCCGAGCTTGGGAAATTTGGGATTAACGGATGTTTTCGATTTTGCCCTTAAAATTATGCCGGTGTGCTATTTTAGCCGGAAAAAAGAGCAAATACGAGCATTAGGACCAAACTGACTCATAATTTATATGTTAGGACTATTTTGGCTATTTTAAATATTAAGAACTAAAAAAGTTTTTAGTGGAAATGTTAGGGACCAATTTGACAAATTTTCCTATTAGTTACTATTAGTTGTTTTCCACTCTACTCCTCTCTCTGTTGTATGTTTTCCCCCTCTTCTGTAGTAGTAGCAGTAGTTGTTGTTGTGTATGTGTGCATTTGTTCGAGGAATTTATCCATTTTATTTAATTACATTGACTATCAAAGTTGTCACTATTTGTTTTGAGTGACAAAAAAAAAATTGTTGCCACTGCCTTGTCACCCATAGCTCCGGAAGTTGTCGTGTGCCATGTAATATGACTTGAGTCAAAGTTGTCAAAAAATGAAACTCATTCAATGACAACTAAAGTTGTCACAAAATATGAAAAATGAAATTCATTCAATGGACAAACTAAAGTTATAACGAAATATGTACAATATGACATTAAACAAGAAAAGGTTACTACACAAAACTAATCTAGTGACAACCTCTACATATTTTAGAATTGAGATAATGACAAGTACTCAATTGTCCCTCAATCTATTATTATTAATATCCAGCTATTCTTGACCCTTAAGGCCACTCTGGAACATTCAAAATGGAATAGATAAAATTGATAAAAGAAAAGTGTAGGGTTCAACTTTCAATCTATTAAGAAGAATACTTTCACCGATTACATTATAAAATAAAAGCTTCATTACCAAAGCGGGATTCGGAAGCTGAAAGTGTATGTAATACATTTCAGTGGTAACACTATAATCACATCAATGTTTCTGGAATTATTTTGTATAATCCCATCAATTATTGAGAAATTATGTGGCATCGCAGAAACTGCCTTGAGATGCAGCAATCAAGAATATTGTCAAATCATCTGCAACATGGAAAAGTTAACCATTAGAAGATACCAATCTCTGGAAAGCACCTTGGCAGTATCAGAGGCCAAACCAAGTGGATAGTATCAGCAAATTTGGGAATCAAGACAGAGACACCAACAATTTTTTATTCACACTTTTATCTCGGTACTTAAAAGTGATGCTTCTTGACGGTCCTCAGACCGACTGCTCTTGAACGGTCTCCTCACAATAAAAAATGTGAGGCGAGAAATGATCCACAATAGGAAGGCTTAAGCAGGGGTAAAAATGACACCGTTCCAAATAAAAAAAAATTTGACTTCCAAACGGGATTAGACGGAGCAAACGGAAGAGTTCAAATTTTGAAAATCAAGTTGAAATTTTGATTTAGCAGCAGAATCCAAAACTAAGGGAAGAGTCTTGGTGTGTTGCTGAAGGTAACAATTGACAGAAAACAGGAAGAAGAAGCAGGCGACAAGGTAGAAGCAAACAGAGACAAAGCCAAATTTTGTCCGTAAAACGTAATAGCAGAAGCAGTTGCACTCTCCGAGTTCGGCGACTGGGTATGAGAGTGTTGTATCTATTTTGAATGCGTGCAAGGTAGGTGGTAAGGTAGAAGCAAACAGAGGAAATTCAGCATCTCACGAAACCAGATTTTGTCTTTCAACTTAATAGCAAAGTAGCTACGCTCTCCGAATTCAGTGAAACGTAAAGCGTATCAGCAGATCAAGGTAACGTGATTGAACCATGTCAGTAACTGTGGCCAATCATTTGTCATCCAAATGCATATTTGTTAATGATGGATGAAATTAGAGTCACTAAAGATATAATATGAAAATGATAGAAGAATAGTGAAGTTGTATCGTATCTGTGTGTGTGAGCATTCAGCTTTTCAGTGATGGACTATAATGGGATAGTAGTTATCGGAAGACCCAGGGGTATGTATTCAAGTAAATAGTCGAATGGAATTAGGGAAAGATGAGAGAAACAAAGTCACATTTAGTAAGTGAATAAATGTACATCCTGTTGTAAATTAGTTACATGTTATGGCTACCGTATTACAATTGATATAAATCATTGTGCATCCAATAGTTGGTCCATGCTCATCACGCAATCTTAGTTTGCCCCTCTCCTGGCTATACAGTGTGTATAAAAATGGAGGTGTAAAGTTGAATGAGGTCAAGTAGAGGAAAAGACCGACCTATGTGAGTAATAAATGGGTGTACCTGGTGTTGTAAGTAAATTACATGATATAAGAAATATATTATAATGAGTAGAAAATACTTATTTAACCCTCAAAATATAGAAATAGTAGAAAATACGGAGTTGGCTTAGGCCTTATGTCATTAATGAATAATATAAGGTCGAGTGAGTTAAGAAACCTACACCTAAATATAATTACCAAAGTAGATGTATATATAGTTAAAATAGACTTACATTGAGTGACCAACACATTACAGTCTGTATAACTTAGTGTACATGGAGTTGTATTTATACATAGATATTACCGTTGTCTTAGAGTAAAAGTAAAGTGATGTAAATTATTAATCATATTGATAAGCGTAATAATAGAATTTGGTATACGAGTACTGTGTGATTCATAACACATTATGAATGGTAATATACATGTATACTGTCGTTTATGTAAATTCATGAAGTGTTGCAAATTAGGGTGTTTGATGCATAATTGGTAGGAGCAGAAATAATGGATTGTAGCAAATTGGCAGAAGATAGGACTCCTGAATTAGGAATGGAGTTCAATAGTGAAGAAAATGCGTACAAATTTTATAACAAATATGCCTTTAAAATGGATTTTAGTGTATGTAAAGACTATCTAAATAAATACAAAGATGGCCTGACCACGTTTAGGAAATATAGTTGCTGCAAGAAAGGTGTGAAACGCAAGTACGAAGGTGATGTGATGCCAAAGATGACACGAGCGCCGACAAAAACAGGGTGTGGAGTTAAAATGGTTATCATATTGATTAAAGGGACAATAAAGTACCGTGTGCATGACCTTCCCTTAGACCATAACCATGAGCTGCAAATTGTTCAATGTTTGCACACGATGTCATCACAAAGAAAAGTGAGCGAGACTTAAGGATTTCAAGTTGAAATAAGCGAGGATGCTGGGCTTTCATTGAAATAGAGCCAGAGCTTATGGGAAAGGAGGCAAGAGGGATGGGTAATGTCGGATATACTCGAGATGATCTTGAACTATATCTTCGAACGAGACGAGAAAGGAGCTTGAAATATGGGGAAGTAGGTAACATGTTGAATTATTTTCAAGAGCAAACACTCGAGAATCCATTATTTTTTCATGCCGTACAGCTAGACTGTGAAGAGCAGATAACGAATATCTTTTGGGCTGATACAGGAATGTTAATTGACTACAACTTTTATGGAGATGTAGTCACATTCGACACAACCTACAAAATAAATAAAAAATACCGGCCACTTGGAGTATTTGTGAGTTTTAACTAACATAGGCAAATTATGATATTCGGTGTTGTCCTTATGTATGATGAGACGATATATTCTTTCAAATGAGTATTTGGTACATTTCTAGAAATAATGTGCGGAAAACGTTCAAGTACCATACTAGCCGACCAAGATCATGTCATGGCAGCTGCTCTTTCACTTGTCATGCCCCAAACGTTTCACGGTCTATGTACGTTTCATATAAGGTGTAATTTTATGAAATATTTCTGCAATTATTACAAAAAAAATAGTGACCTTCCATACATGTTTGGTGACTGCAGGTATGAAATTGAAGAAGTGGAACAATTTAACAGGGCCTGGGAGGCAATGGTGAAGAAACATAATCTTGAAAATAATGAATGGCTTTCCGGACTGTATCGAATTCGTAATAAATGGGCAAGATGCATGATTAAAGAAAGATGGACCGCGAGAATGCGAAGCACCCAATTTAGCGAAAGCCTAAATGCAGCAATTAAAGATCATTTGAAACTGGACGACGACCTTATGTAGTTCTTTAGATATTTTAATCGCATGGTTGAAGAAAAGAAGCATAATGAACTCATCGCAGAATATAAAATAAGGCAAAAACTCCCCATGATAGGATTGAGGCAAACACCTATGTTTGTGCATGCATCAGAGACGTATTCATCTACCGTATTTGTTGCATTTCAAAATGAATATGGTGAGTCAACAGCTATGGTTATTGTGAGACAATAAGATGCAGGGATGTTTCTGGAGTTTGCGGTCATGAGATATGTTGGAAGACCTGAAAGAACAGTGGTATTCAATCGAAATAATCTAAGTGTACTCTATAATTACAAAAAATACGAGAATGAAGAAATTTTGTGTGGGCATGCGTTGAAGGTGTTTGATACCATGGGCATAAAAACAATTCCTCCTGAATATGTTAAGAGTCGATGGATAAAAAGAGTTCGGACAGGAGATTATTTTGATCGGCGAGGAAGAGAAATTGTGGTTGACCCAAATGTAATCGTTTCAACTCGTTATCCGGATCTTGTTCCAGCCATGATTAAGGTCGTAACTCGAGTAGTAATGTCCGAGGACATCGGCAAAGTAGTAATCACCGTCATATCCAATTTGGCAAAGAGAGTTGAGCTCCTCCTCTCAGAAAACGAAGAGCAAACTTTGCAAAATCATAAAAATCTGAATGTGGAGGAACGTGATATATTTGAATTTGAAAATGAAACGGGAGAGGCAGTACTCGCAAGAGGCATTAAAAAATGTGCTGGAAAGAAAAATAAGGTGATGTGAAGTTGGATCGATAAATTTGACAGATTAAAAAGAAAATCTCGATTGTTAATGACAACACAGACTATGATATGGATCCAATTTTTATGATGGTAAACATTTATGCTACAATAATGTTCTCATTGTACCGTTAACTGAAGTTTAGGTACTATTCACTATGAAATAATGTTATTGTCGTGTTAATAATACAAGTCTCAGAATCGGAGCCGATATCGATTTCATTTGATGAACACATGTTTATTGGATGCCGTTCATCTACTGACTCGATTTCGATTAGTATAAAATGGTCATGGCCTTAGCTCTTATTTGGATGTTTCTAATAGCATAATTAGTTACATTGATATTACATTATGTGATAAATTTGTTACACTCGTCATCCATTCTCATATACCTATTTTGTTTTCTTATATAATTGTTTGACCTTTCAAAACTCGTAGACACATTCAATGAGCTAGTCAGTGAATGGCCATCTAAACGCTATTGCTCCCAAAATCGAGCAAAGTGAAATGGTATGTATACATTTAGTAGGAAAAATAAAGACTTTATTGTTCTTAATCACAGCTATATTTCTGCTTATTGTAATAGTAGGGACCCAAACACTTCCAAATGAATACATATGTGTAGTTAACGTATGCTCGCTTTAATAATATATTATTTTGTATTATCTAAAAGTCCACCGTTTGGCTAATCAGGAGCCTCCTACTACTATCCCTACAGAATGGATGCATCTCAAATTTTCTGTATTTACCAAACATAACTCCGTCAGAGATATTTTAATGGTCTGATATATCATTTTTGTTATAATGTCTAGTCTAATTTAGTTTTGTAACTGAGCAATATAGGCACTGCATATGATTTATTGACAGTTGATATTTATATTATATAATGAAGTAGGAGCGTGTGGCAATTTCAACACACTGTGACATTGATGCATATAATGTATTTCACTATCACCCCAAGTTACAAATTTTTATCATTACAACACATGCTTATGTAGTATTGTTAATTAAAAACTTGGACATCATATATCATTAACCGTATGTTTCATTAACTATATTAGATGATTTTGCATCGTTGTTTCTTTCAAGAAAGAAATAACATCCAGGAATTACGACAAACTGTTAACTTCGTCTCCCCCTGAGAAACAGGTTGATGAATGATGTGTGGCTATAATTTTTAACGACACACTAAGTTGGTTGACCCAACTTGGGAATGTAGCATAGGTTCAGTTACTAGCCGTTAATAAACTGTTATAACTTATTCAGAAGGCTGTACAGGCACCATTAATGTTTCGCTTTTTTCAAACTTAGACAAGTAGGTCACAATTGTAATTACGTCCTGTGTTAGTAGTCATCAATAGTGTGTATTTGATTGTATAAAATTGTTAGAAAATTATAAAGTCGGCAGAAAATTGAATAATTTTTTTACAATATGTTTACATTTGTTATTATTTTGTTACGATGCTAAATTTAAATTATTATTTTGATATTTTTATAAAAAAAATTATCATTAAGGCCATATGGTTTACACTTTTCTGTTGAATTTATCGCAGTATTGACAGGATGTATCACAGGCACTTGAATAGTGTATCAGTTTAGTTAAATTCATACCTTGATCAAAATCATATATGAGCACCTGTAGCACGATACTTTCGCAAAAGGAAATCATTCGTCGGACAAATAATTGTAATGTTAAAACTATATTTTATAATGTAACAAAAATGAAGAACAAACAGTACAAAATGGGTTACAACCAGTTAGGTATCTGTTACGAAACATTTCAACTAGTTATGGATGTTTAACGGCATGATTAATATCGAAATATGGTAAGCAATTGTTTGAGTAGAGATTATAATGAGTAAACTTTCATTGAGACAACAAAAACATTTGACTACATCTCGATCATGTTTCGTATACCATACAATACCTGGGAATGCCGTCATGTATTAGACAATCGGGTATGTACCTTTGAAAGTCATCGTCTCTGGATTGAGTAAAGTCAGATAAATCCGCGTCGGATATAAGCATGGGATCTGGTAAAATGTGTTCAACATCAAATTCTTTTCCAATAGCATGTATTTTTGTTACCTGAACCTTGTGAAACCTGTGAAGTCTATGCTCCATCTGTATAACCTCTGGACGTAATTGATGTAATACGCTTGCATCATTCACTTCTGCTCCTATAATAAGATCTGCTGAGCTTGTTCTCGGGACGCGAAGGCTTTGCCAGCGACAAAATACCTCTAATTCCATTCTTCGCTCGCGAATAGGCTCCCATATGGGCTCATGGTCTATAACGTAATAACCAGAGGATAGATGATTGTGGACGCTATCTTTAAAAATGTGACCAGCCAGTCCCAGAGAGTTGTTGGTGTTAAGTGGAGCGTTCCTGAAATCGCGTTTGGTACCATATAAAATCCTCCCGTCTGGTGTTTCGTACCTCCTTAGGGCATTTGTTGGAGTAAACGATACTTTTCGCCTTTTAACGTAATTACACATCAGTGTTGTAATAAAATATTTGCAACTCTAACAATAATGATATGAGAACTCAAACTACTTACACTTTATTTGGTGAGTGATGAGTGACATCGGCAAGTGCATATGAGAAACTGAAGAAGTCAATTTCTTTACCAAACTTTGTCGCCACGACCAATCCCAGAGTACGTTTCTATAGTACCAAAGATTATGTAAAATAGATTAGAAGCACTAATGTGTCATCCTTTTCTATTGTAATATGCATTTATGTGATACTCCAACATACCAGTCGATTCAGTACACTTATGTCTTTGCTCTTTGTTTGATCACTATTGGGGTTTAACAGGTACACTTATGTTAGCGAGAATTAAAACATTTGAATAAGTATGTCCCTATTAAATCCGGAACACAATTTAACGATTTACTAATAATTAATACTCGTACTCCAAAAAACAGACATGTAATGTATATAAAGTCAATTCTCATCCATTTTCATACTATTTTTCTGTGCCATCTTACAATGAATCACATGCGTAGTTATTGAAGTGAATGGATCACAAGGTCGAATTAATAGTTTTGTCAAAAATCTTACTTGGAATTTTTGTCAGGTCCCATGCATATGCAGCCACATTTTTATCATACAAGTTTATTGTCACAAGTGCTGGTAGAATGTACTTCACTGACCACAGAACAGTGCTCTTCTTTATTGCACGTGTAGACTTGTGCTTTATCTCAATGTCAAGGCCTCCTAAAAAGCAAAGAACATGCATTTCATATGCAATTTATTTGTTGTTGTATAATAAATTGTAAACCATTTTGTAACAGTCTTCAAACACAGTATAACTAACAGTTTTCAAACACCAATCGATTAATTTTCAAACATACTGTAACTGTCCCAATACCTATTTTGTAACACTCTTCAAACACACTGTAATTAACACCCTTCAAATAGTTTTATATTAATTTTCAAACACACTATAATTTTTCAATAACTATTTTGTAATAGTTTTCAACCACACTGTAACTGCTAAAATAACTATTCTGTAATAGTCTTCAAACACACTGTGACTTTCCAATAACTATTTTGTAACAACCTACAAACATACTGTAACATGCAATCATCAACTATGGAGTTTTGTATTAATTTTTAAATTCTAACTTCCCAATTAAGTATTTTGTAATAGTCTTCAATAACATTCAACTTCCCAATAACTATTTTGTAACAACCTACAAACACTTCGTAACTAATAGTCTTCAAATATGGAGTTTTGTAATAATTTTTAAACCATAACTTCCCAAATGACTATTTTGTAACAGTGTTCGAACACACTGTAACTTTTCAATAACTATTTTGTAACAACCTACAAATACTTCGTAACTAACAGTTTTCAAATATGGAGTTTTGTATTAATTTTCAAACTGTAACTTTGCAAATAAATATTTTGTAACAGTTTTCGAATATACTATAACTTTTCAATAATTATTTTGTAATAACCTACAAACACATTATAAACAATCTTCAAATACGGAGTTTTGTATTAATTTTCAATTTGTAACTTCCCAAATATTTTTTTTGGTAACAATATTCAAACGCACTGTAACTTCCCAATAACTATTTTGTAATAGTCTTCAAACACTATTTTGTATCTGACAGTTTTTCAGACACACTATAACTTTCCAATTGGCTTAACATAACTTAGGTTTATTTGGATGTAACTTGAATAAAGTCATGCTTAATTATTATGCTCAATTCAGTTTGTCAGGTCCACTTCATATGCAGCTGACATTGGTGCGTTATGACAGTATGGCTGCAAGTTTTTGATGATGACTAGTGAGAATTCAGACCCATATAGGTAGCATCATTATGGTATAAATACTGTTACCGTATGCGTATATAGCTGTTACAGTCATGTTACTTGAATTAGAACCTTATGAATAATACAACTATACCAACCTTTTTGGTTTCGACCATATGACAACAACCTACGTGGTGTTTATGGCTCATGCAGATATGACATCGATGCACTCGCGTTCAAAGGTGGTTGCACCGTAGATTGACTTTCTTTGATAGATTCTATGGCATTTGACCTATATTGCTCCTGCTCTTGCTCTTGAAAGTGTATAATGCTTCCTTGCTTAGCTGTTGTCATGGTGACCCCTTATTGCAATCCCTGACTGATGTTATCGGGCACGACTGATGAGGTAGGAATTGGATTTTCCATATCTATTACATATTCATTCAGCTCTGGGTTTGGGATGGCTTCAATATTTGTCTTCATATTAGCATCGTCTTGTTCATTCTGCACTGCATTATACTCGTCTTCTTCAGACCCTTCCGTATCAATTTCATCACCATCTTCATCCTCATCATTGCCCTCTTCTTCGGTAGATTGAAATTCCATTTCTTCTTGGGTATCAGGACTCTTGTGCATTGTATAGTCCTTCTGCATAGGTTTTTTACCTTTGTCCAATGCTTCAGGCCCAGAAGTGGAAGCTTTGGCTCTCGGTTGAGAAAAGAGTATTTCTGCA